CTGGTCTCCCAGGCCGACCTGGGTTGGCAGGACGAAAAGGAGAGATTGTGAGTGTGGGGCACTCCCAGAATGAGGATAGGATGGGTGAGCCAGGGCCAACCTCATGCTTTTTTTCTTCTCCAGGGAGAACCTGGTATGCCAGGTCAGTCTGGGATTCCTGGCAAAGAGGGCCTGATTGGTCCCAAGGTACAGTCAACAGGGAGCATAATGGGGATCAGGATGGGGCAGGAGAGGTCACCATAAGGTCATGAAGGCTGGGCATGGCACACTTGTGATCCCAGCACTCAGGAGGCTGAGGCAGGAGGATTGCCATGAATTCGAGGCCAGCCTAGGCTGCATAGTGAGTTCAAGGCCAGCCTGAACTATAGAGTGACCTTGTCTCAAAAAAACCAAAACAAACACAGCACACAAAAACAAACCCAAAAACGGGGCCAGGGATTTAGCTCAGTGTTGCTGTGGCTGCCTTGCAAGTGCAAGGTCTTAAATTTGATCCCTAGTACCCAGAAAAAACAAAAAGACCCAAAAAACAAATCCATAAGGTCATGAAGGCTTAGAGTCAAAGGAGGTTTTGGAGGGTTGGTGACTGGGGGATGATGTGGGGTGGTCTTTAGATTTCAGAGTGGGCTGGGATCACAGTACAGGGATTGAAAGGGTCGAGTGAGGGGTTATGTGCATCAGGGCGGGGGCCTGCAGTGGGGTTGACATCATGGGGACACAGTTGTTAGGGTCGCAGATGCTCACGTTATGGAAAGTTAAGGCGTTCATGGGAGGTTAGGGAGGTCAAGGCAGGGCGTCTTTCATGCTTCCTCTGTACCCAGGGTGACCGAGGCTTTGATGGGCAAGCAGGACCCACGGGTGACCAGGGTGAGAAAGGGGAGCGGGTAAGTTGAGACCAAGGCTGGGGAGAGTTAGGGAAGCGTGTTCTTTGGGAGTGGGTTCATCTTTGGGGGCTCTGCTCACTGACTCTGCCCTGTCCATCCCCAGGGACCCCCAGGAACTGGGGGCTTCCCAGGTCCCAGGGGCAATGATGGCTCTAGTGGTCCCCCTGGGCCACCTGGCAGTGTCGGTCCTAAAGGCCCCGAAGGACTTCAGGGCCAGAAGGTAAGGGTCCCCGCTCTGACTCCTGGCCTTGAACTTCCATACTCCTTTTTTTTGCAGTGTTAGGAGTGGAAGCAAGCATTCTACCCAGGCCTTCCTATCTTTCCTGTCTCTCTGATTTCTGACCCTACAACCGATCCTCCAATCTCCTTGCCCCAGCCTCTGAAGTTATAATCCCCAATTTGCTTATCTTCTGATCTCCACTGACTGACCCTGCTCATTTAGTCCTTATACCTGACAGGGTGAGCGAGGTCCCCCTGGAGAGCAGGTGGTGGGGGCCCCTGGGCCCCCTGGAACCCCTGGTGAGAGAGGGGAACAGGTGAGTGGGGATTCCTGGACTTGGGCTCAGAGACTGGGGTGGCCCTGGTATTCTTGAGCACTGGGGTCACAGCCTGGTCCCATCTGTTGCACACAGGGGCGGCCGGGTCCTGCTGGCCCCCGTGGTGAGAAGGGAGAAGCTGCGATGACGGTGCGTGCAGCCCTGGGGGCCGAGGCCCACCTCCCGCCCCCGCTCCGCGTCCTGGGCCCTACTCAGTTGGTCTCGCCTTGATCCCCGCTTTATGGGCCCTGTCACTCCTGTGACTCATGGGTTTTCCTGGTCACTGTGGTCTTGTGTTCCTAGGAGGATGATATTCGGGGCTTTGTGCGTCAAGAGATGAGTCAGCATTGCGGTGAGTGGGCCTAGCCTGGAGGCCCCAGGACCCCATCCCGTTCCATCTTAGCCACTATGAAGGGGCCAGCTAATCCACAGAGCTTAGGAGGGACCAGGGTCATGGAGATGGGTAGATACACAGGACAGACATGTTGCTAGAACGTTTCTCAGGGAGGGACACACACAGGCAGACGTGGGTGGCCAGAGTGTTCCAGCATGGCTGTGTGGGAGGTGGAAGAGGGAGCAGAGCTGGGCCACTGGCCCTGACATGGGAGAGGGGCCATGATGACCCTGGCGGCATCAGAGTGAAGCTCTGTCTCTTCTCGTCTCTTCTTTGCAACTTTATTCACTGTTTGTGCCCGCCTGTTTTTCTCCATCTCCATCGCTTGCCCTTTGCTGGCCTGTCCCCAACTTCTCATTCCTGTGTGCTTTCTCTGCTTTTCTCCCTCTCTTTCTTCTTCGGTACCTCTCCCTACTTCCCACCCTGTCTTCTCCCTCCTTTTGTCTCTGTCACCATTTCTACTGCTGTGCATCTCAACTTGTGTGCTGTGTGTGTCTCCATCTTTCTGTCTCTTCCTCTCTCCTTCATTGCCCTCTGCCCTTCTCTTCCCCCTCCAGCCTGCCAGGGCCAGTTTAGTGCATCAGGATCACGTGAGTAGTTTTCTGTACCCAGAACTTCCTTCCCCTGGGGCCATGGCCTGGGTCCTCTCAGCAGGGGTGTGGCTGGGTGGCTGTCCTTGAGGGCCTTAGCACATCACCTGAGGTTGGCACCTGCTTTTTGCTCCAGGACCCCTCCCCAGTTATGCTGCGGACACAGCTAGCCCCCAGAGCCACCGGCTGGTGCCTGTGCTCCGGATCTCCCATGTAAAGGAGGAGGGTGAGGACACCTGGACCCTGGGGCCTATATAGGTGGGGGATGCACATACACATGTGTGCCCATGCATGCTGGACCCATGCCATGTACACGAGTTCCACATGCAGGGCATGAGCATGGGTACCTTGGGGGCACAGGATGGGAGATCAGTGTTGCCCACTTGTCGCAGGGCCTGCAGCTGCCCTCTCATAATACATCCATCCTGCCCGCAGACCAAGTGCCCCCTGAAGATGATGAGTTCTCTGAATACTCCGAGTATTCTGTGGAGGAATACCAGGACCCTGAAGTTCCTTGGGGCAGTGAAGGTAAGAATGAGGGCTGGGCCAGGGGAGCTCAGTTAGGGCCAGGCAGAGCCAATCCTTGACCAACTGACTCCCACCACCCTGCTGACCTGGCCCCCTTGGCCCCAGATCCCTGCTCCCTGCCACTGGATGAGGGCTCCTGCACTGCTTACACCCTGCGCTGGTACTATCGGGCTGTGCCGGGAGGCTCAGAGGCCTGTTGGCCTTTTGTCTATGGTGGCTGTGGAGGGAATGCCAACCATTTCGGGACCCGTGAGGCCTGTGAGCATCGCTGCCCACCACGAGTGGTTCAAAGCTCAAGAACAGGTAGGGGCCTGTATCCACCTCCGCAAGGCCCTGGGCACCCAGATCCATGGTTGCAGAGGCAAGGTCCAGGGTGAGAAGTGCCGTCAGATGCAGGACCTGGGACAGATCCCCAGATCAAAGAACCACACATAAAAATACATCTGTGAAGCCCCTCCACAGTCTTTCTCCATGTTCCCTCCTTTGGGTTCCCTCTTTGAGTCAGAGGCCGCTCCCTGCTGGGCCTCAGCTCCCTCTCCTGGGTGCTCTATTGCCTCTCTCCTTGGCTGACATGGAGGAAAGTTCAAAGGACTGAAGGTGATTTCCGACCTTCCTGCCCAGGTGCTCCCAACAGCTAAGGCCCGTGTGAGGAGCTGATGTTCAGCATCCCTGAGGAGCTGGGGTCTCAGCAGGGCCCTGTGGTCTCTCCCCTTGGTGCTAAGAAGATGGTGTGCACATGAGCATGGTGTACACATCCGTTATTTCAGTGACTAGGTCCTGTGGGTCTAGCCTTTCCCCCTACAGACAAACCCCCATTGTGGCAGATGACTCATGGCGGGGGTGGCTGTGGGCGGTGAGCAGATGTGACTAGGTCTGACGGTCCCTTGACCCAAACCTATGATACCATGGTGCTGATTTTGGGGACATTAAAGCTGCTGTTTTAAAAGGCCACCGTTGTGATTTGTTCTTGTGTATGTGACTCTTTGTGCTGGGGGACAGATTTTCCCTGGTGGTAAGTACTGTTCTGCATGGGTAGAAGTCCTGGTGCCAAGCCTTGGTCATTGTCCTGTGACCCTCAGTCCCCAGCTTGTCCCCAAAAAGAAGAGAGGGTAGGAGGAGGAACATGTCCTCACTGCTCCCAGAACGGGCTGAGTCATGGGTGGGGGCTGCCTCACGCCCTGAAATATGCCCCAGCTCCCACCTCAGGGACTGGGGGAGATAAATGGGCCCTGGAGTGGAGTTGAGGGTTGGACCACAGGACAACATCACCTGGCAGCAGCCGCAGTGGCTCCGACTTAACCCAGAGGAAGATAGTGGTAGGACTGGTGTCTGCTTGTGACAGGAGGGTCCTAGGGCGCTGAGTGAACCTGGGAGGCTCTGGGATCTTTGGTTTCTTCTCTGCCTCGAGGACCCCTTCTACCTCTTGTTTCAACTGCAAGCTCCATAACTGGGTTCTCTCTCCCTTTTTATCATTCAGTATTTTTCTGTCTCTGAAATTTTATTTCCATAATGCTATCTGTCTCTGGGATGCTTTCTTCCAGGCTCCTTTCTCCTTTGCTCTGTCTTCATCCGTCTCATTCATCCCCCTTCTTTTCCCTCTCACTCCTCTCCTTTCCTGTTTCTGCTCTCTTTCTCTGCATCTCTTCCTCTCTCTCCATCTCTTCTCTCTCCCTCCATCTCTTCCTCCCTCTGTGTCCATCCTCCCCCCTTTCTTCCTCTCTCTCTCCATCTCTTTTTTTGTTTGTTTTTTTGAGATAGGATCTCACTTTGTAGCCCAGGCTGGCCTTGAACTCCCGGTGATTCTTCCGCCTCAGCCTCCCAAGTGCTAGGATTATAGGTGTGCACCACCATGCCTGGCTCTCCCTCCATTTCTTCCTCTCTCCATCCATATCTTTCTCTTTCTCTCCATCTCTTCCTCTGTCTTCCTCCCTCCCTTCATCTCTTTCCATCTCTTCCTCTCTCCCCATCTCTTCCTCTCTTCTTTCTGCTCTTGCCAGTTGGTTGTGTATAAATCATAGTTAATTGGAGCCTTTGCCCTGTGTGTATTTTCTCCTTGTAGCCTGATGCCACGATGACCAGGTGGGCTCTGCGGGTGCTGACGGTCCTGATATTGGCCAGGGTCCTGGTTGTCCCAGTGACCCCTGTCCCAGCCTTCCAGATCCCTCCTCCAAACTGTTCTCAGACCACTTCTTGTCCCCTGGCCTCAGCAAGGCCCTCAGCTACCACCACAGGCCTCTCCTCTGCCTGGGGACAGCCCAGCCCTAGCCCCCGCCTTGGTCCACGCATCACCCTCTCACTGGATGTCCCCATCGGCCTCCTGCGGATATTACTGGACCAGGCCCAGACCAGGGCCGCCAGGGAGCAGGCTGCTGCCAACGCCCATATCCTGGCCCATGTTGGCTGATGCTGAGGAAGAGGGGAAACCTAGAGGATGGCGGCAGCTGGACAATGTTACACCTGGGAAGAGTGTGCCTACATGCTGCTTCAGCAGCCTCCTGTCATGTGCTGTCATATCTCCTTGGAGTGCTCCACAGATGCACAGTCTGGAGCTTACTTTGTTGAGTCACTGCTGTGTGGAGCCCTGCCAAGCCTGTGTGTACCCTGGACTCACAGTATGTCTGCATAGCTTGGATAGTACCGTGTTAGGTCACTGCCATGTGGAATCTTCCCTGTCTGGGCACCCTGCAGTCACTGAACATCCACACACTCTCACGCTGGGTCACAGCTGTGTTCCATTCATGAGCTGAGACACAGGAGCCCAGTGCTCCATCTGAAGCAGTCACTTCAGGCCCACAGTCTGGGCCCCCACATGTACCACACAGAGTGTGCTGTCTGAGGGTCATGTGCATATTTTGTGCACATGGAAGCAGACTCCTGAGGCACAGACACCCAGCCATATGTGGAAAGTCTGGCCATGGCAGTCTTACCTCATCGATGTGTGTGTCCACATGGCTGAGTCTCTGTGTGCTGCCCATTACAAGTTTCTGACAGCTGTGAGTGTGAGCAATGTGGGGAGCTCATCCTCCAAGTCTGGGTGAAACACACACAACACACAGCTGGTCACTGTCCCTTACCCCTGCCCACCCAGCCTTGACCCTGGACACGTGTGGCTCAGGAGAGAGGGAGCTCATGCTGTCAGGGCTCTAACCCAGCTCTCCCCCTTCCTCACTAAAATGTTCTCAGCAAAGATGTCACCTTTCTGGGCCTTGGTCTCCTTATCTGTAAAGCCAGGTGATGTTCCCCAGCTTCTCATGTGAAGAGGGACATTCACGTCTGAAGACTGGTTAGCTGCAAGAGGCAGTCAATAAATGCCATGTGATTGGAGGATGGGATGGCTGAGATTACTCCATCACGTCCACATCAGGGCTGAGTCACAGCTTCCCTCTCTGCTGTTCCATCCACCCTTCCTCCCCACACTCTTAACTGACCCAGCCGCTTGGTAGCTCAGGAGGAGGTATTGTTGTTTCACACTCCTCCCGCCATTGCTGGGCTGGAGCTACCCAATCTGGGCATGTGGGCAGGCCTGCCAGAGGATGGGACAGGCACTGCGTGTAGGGTAGAAGCTCTGCCCAGAGACAAGGGCAGCCCCTGGGCAGCTTTGACTGGAGAGGCAATACCCGCCCATGTGCAGCTGCCTGCCTGGTCAACCTCACGGTAGTTAGCAGCCCTGGCAGGCGGGCCTAGGGCAGCTGAGAGGCGGAGCTGCTTTCTTCAGAGCCTGCCTGAGGCAGGCAAAGGCGGGGTTATCCTATTCCCCCGGAGCCACAGGGGGCGGTGGCCCTGGCCAGTTCGGTGGCAGGATGGACAGAGGCACATTAAGAAGCAGCTCTCTGACCAACCCAGGGCCGGGGAGCAGCGGGCAGGGTAGGCATGGGGCAGTGTGGGGAGGGTGGGAGTTCAGGGGAATACCTGGGTGCAGGGAGGGTGGTGCTGGAGGGGGAATGAGAGTGTGGGGTATATCTCCCCATGCCAGGTGCTCTGAGAGGACATCAGTTTGACAGTGGCCTGGAGAAGGGAGAGTTGTTGTCTTGCAGGGCAGAGGGGGCTGGGCCAAGGGGAAACTATAAATAGTGTCTTCCTTCAACCCAGGGGGAGGGGCAGCTGCTGGAGCTGCCCGAGGCCCTCCCTCTCTGTCCCTTGCTGGCCTCCAAGGGGTCATGTTCACCTAGGTCCTCCCCAAGGGGTCACCCAGACTAGGGAGGCCCAGAGGCTCATTTGGAAAGTTGTTCATATCATGTAGCCTTAGCCCCCAAACCAGCATTTCTAGGTACCCACAGTGTGCCCTGTGCTGGTCCTGAGCATCTCTAAATGTCTACTGTGTACTTTGTCTTGCCTGTTAGCCTCTCTGAGCCCCTTCTCTGTGCCCTGGCTGGTCCTGAGTCATTTTGGATACCTACTGTGTGCCTGATGCCAGGCTGGAACCAGGAAGTGCAGATCAGGGTGACAGGCTGTTCTCAAGTGGCTGTATACATAGTTGGAAGCTCACACTCTGTGAGCTTTGGGCCCAGCGAGTCACTAAGGACAATCCTTCCTAAGTGGCCAGAGGAAGCTAGGATTCCTGGGAACTCTCCCTGCCCCTCAGTGACTGCAGTGCAGGATGAAGAAATAAAGACAAAGGGGGCAGAAGAGAGCAACAGGCTCTGCACTGCCTGCTGGTCCCTGTGCACTGCGTGGGTGCAGGGCTTGTAACTAGGTGTGCAGCTCTGTGTGCAGGTAGGTACATACTTATGTGCCCTGGGCTGTGGATCTTCACAGCATGACCCAAGCCCCTGGGTCTTTATGCTGTCAATGATGGACTGGGCAGCAGATATGGGAACTGGGAAGAGTATGAGCCTTGAGAACTGAGGGTTGAAGTCTTTGGCCACCCCCTGGCTTCTACCCTGGGATCGTGGGAGGAGGTCCAGTGGTCACTGCAGAGAGCACCCTGGGAGCCAGCCAGGGTCAGGCTAGGCAAATTCACGGTAGGGAGAGAGTGAACCAGATATATTCACACATGAGTACACACTGATGTCCGAGCACACTTCCTGTGCATGGGACAGGTTAGCTGGCACACTTTGGGATGCCCTGAGGAGGGAGAAACCATAAGAGGCAATTATTCTATTGGACATTTACTGATACAGGGGGAGCAGAAAGCCAGGAAGACATTTCAATGGAGAGAACAAGGAAGAGCCTGGGTGTGAAGGTAGGAAGCATAGCAGTGTTATGCAGGGGTTCAAGGTGCAGGGATGAGGTTCTGAAGGCTGAGGGTTCTGCTGAGTCTTTTGTGTACTGTGGGCTGGCTCTGTGCTCTTGGATCCTTCTCTCCATCCAGATCCTTAGTTTTCTACCCAAGAAGTGAGGCCATGGGAAGGGAGGTGGGAAATATGCTCAGAGCAGACCTAGACCCTGGCCTTGGGGAGGGGCCAGGATCTGGATGTTGATGTTGACCTTTGCCCTACCAGCTGGCTATATACACTTGGGAGGGTGTGTCTGGGCGAGCCCAGGGTCAGCTAGGGAAGGGGTGGAGGTACCGAGTTGTGGCATTTCCTGGGAATCAGGCTCAGATTATCTGGTGTGGCGATAGCCCTAGCTCCCTGCCCTTTCTTGGTTGCCCCCACTTTCCAGCTTTTGACTAACATCCAGAGGGGCTGGGGAAGAGGAAAGCAGGTCTGAGGAGGGTATGAGTACCTGTGGATGTTAGAGGAGGCAACTTTTCTAATGGAGTGGTAGGGGTTGGATAAGGTGTATGCATGTGGCAATGAGTTTTCTGAAGTCAGGATGGCCCCAAGGTGGCCTTGGCAGTGGCCAAGAAACGAGTGCTGGCTGTGTCAGGAACAGAATGGGTGGCTTTGGAGAAGCGGGGTCAAGTGGGTTATCACAGGGGCCTGGAGTAAGATGTGTGTGTGTGTGTGGGGGGGTTGGCAGCAGACAGTGCAGTTAGGAATTGAGGAAGAAGGAAATGGTATATTTTGCATTCCACAGCTAATCATCTAGAGCTGGTTTTAGGGAGAGTCCAGGTGGGCTTCCAGCATTTAGAGCTCCTGAGCCTTTATTTCCTGTGAAATGGGTAAGACATGTGTCTGTCATCTTTTTGTTTTGTTTTGTTTTTGAGATTGGGTCTTGTCTTGTAGAGCAGACTGGCTTTGAACTGACTACGTAGCACAGGCTAGACTCCAGCTCACAGCAGTCCTCCTGCTTCAGCCTTCCTACTTCCGCTGGGACTATAGGCGTGTGCCATCACACATGGCTTATGTGTCCGTCATCTTAATGGTCTTTGCCAGGCTTTGAAGTGTCTGGTAGTTTGGAGGCTTGACTCAAGGCAAGTGGATGGGCCTTCTGGCCATGGGCACAGTGCTGCACCTACTGCAAACGAGGTCAGTTTTGTTCTCTGTGCCCCTCGCTCCTGTTTGGGTGCACTGAGGGCAGAGAGGATTTAAGGATGCAGGCATCTCGGAGAGTGGAGGACATTGCTAGAGGGCAGTGTGTTACAGGCTCAAGCTGAGCTGGTGAGGACTGGAGCAGAAAGTGGCTAGCAGACCTGAGGCAAGAGCCTGCATGGGTCTGGTGGGGCCAAATACAAGACAGTGAGCCAAGTGTTCCTGACCTTCTAGAGCTCTCCCGGGCCCTTTGCCCCCAGAGCATTTTTCAAAGACAGCAGGGAGATTAATATAATGAATAAGAGCACTAATGTGTTTTAGAGTAATTTCTCAGAGATTGACACATTTAATCTACACCACGATCTTGTAAGATTGATGATCTGTGCACCCTATTTTCCTGATGAAGAGATAGAAGCCATTTAAAAAATGCATGAATTAAGCTTGGCTTGGTGGCGCAAGCCTGTAATCCCAGCACTCTGAGGCTGAAACAGGAGGATTGCAAATTTGGGCCCAGCCTGGGCAATTTAGCAAAACCCTGTCTCAAAATAAAAAATAAAGGAGGGTACTGGTGATGTCGCTCATTTCTAAGGCCCTTAGTTTAATCTTCTCTCCCCCTTATCCAAAATGCATTAAAAATTTAATTGGTAAAAATAAAATTTTGGAAAGAGAATTAATATACTGTCAGGGATGGGAGTCCACAAATAACTTGGTCACAAGGTCCTACACATTTGCTCCAGGTGGGCAGGAGTCTAGTCCAAGCTGCCCAGAAGCCAAAGCCAGGAGACACATGACCAATTTTAAAATTTGTTCTGTCCCTGTCCATGAGATGAAGGAGCTTTTCTGGCATGGTTGATCAGGTAGCCCCCTTGATGCGGTCAGAGACTTTCGGCTTGGAGCAGATGAGTGGGCCCAGCACGGAGCCCTGGTGGGGTGGGGGTGGGGGTTGGGGGAGCTGCGCTGGGGAGCTGCGCTGGGGAGCTGACAGCCAGCCGAGACAGCAGGCCAGTCACCGGGCTCCCAGGCCTGCCAGGCTGGCCCTGACCAACCGGGCCGCGGAGTCCTGCAGGCCCTGCCGCATTGCACGTAATCCTGTCCTGCTGGGCACCCTGAGGTCAGGCTCGGCGGGGACCGGAGCCTTGGGCCCCGTGGAGGCGGGGCTGCAGAGCCCTGGGCGGGGCCTAGGGTGACACCTATGCAAATTAGCACAGTTGAGTTAGTGTGTTGGGTTTGAGCATCCGGGGCGGGGCCTGCATAATCCGGGCCTTGCGCTGGTTGGGCAATACGCATGCGCATTCACATCCTAGTGTGACGGAAGGCGTGCGTTTGGCCCAAAAAGGGACCTTAGGTGAGCTAGGCATGCGTAGTCGGAGGCCAGAGCCTCTTCAATTGGGGAGGAACCTATTCGTTCTGGGGCGGGGCCTATGGGAAGATGGACAGCTCGGTCAAGACTTGAAAAGGGGCGGGGCCCGAGGGGCGGGACCTCGGGTGGCCCCAGGTAGCCCGGCTACTGGGTCCGAAGCGGCTGCGGTCCGACTCCTCCTGGCCGCGGGATGGCGTCCCCGCGGGAATTGACCCAGAACCCCCTGAAGAAGATTTGGATGCCCTACAGCAACGGGCGCCCCGCCCTGCACGCCTGCCAGCGTGGTGGTGAGGCCGGGTCCTCTGGAGAGCGAGGGTGGTGCGCCACATGAGTGGATGGACGGCCTGGGCGGGGACAGGGGACAGGTGGGGACCCGGGCCAGAGGAGGTTATTGTGACTGGTAGAAAGAGTCGAGGACAGGTGGGGGGGATCGGGAGGAGTGAGGCGGCTGTGACAGTGGTGGCCTGAAGATAATAAGTGTGGCAGAGCAGGGGGTGGGGACAGGTGCGTGAGGCCATTCTGCTTACTTAATAGGAGTGAGGCCTGGCCACCATCACCTCGAGGAGGGGACGAGCCCCTTTGCTCCCCACTCTGCACCCAGTGGCCGCTGCCACGGAGGTCTCTATGGACATGGCCCCTCCTTCTTTTTTCTTTTGGCTAGAGAGTGGGCCCATGGGCAGGAGGGAACTGAACTGTGTGGCCCTGGAATCACTTGGCCTGAGCCCAGAATTTGCAAAGACTTAATCCATAGGCTAGATCTCTGAAGCGAGGACAGTGTCCTTTGGCCTTAAGACCAAATTTCAGGAGGAACTTTAGGGAAGTGTAGATGTGGTCAGGATAGACATGTGAACCCACGTTTACCCCCGAGGATATGTAAGCATCCACATGAGTTCATGGGGAAAGGTAGAACTGAAGGGGGAAACATTCCTTAACTTTCTGCTTGTCCTTAAATGAGTGCAACTTTCTTCATACCAGAGAAAAGAAAGGTTTGTTGTAAGAGTAACTGAAACATTGTAATGAGATTTCATTTTGGCAGGATCTCAGAGGACATCTAGTACAACTGTGGACATGGCGTCAGGAGAGTTGTGAGGTGCTGGGGCTTCCTGGGCTTTTGACCTCTGCTGATACATGAGAATGGAGGGGAGTGTTCTGTGCTGCTGCCAGCTCAGCCTGTAGCAATGGTTTTGACCATGAATCGAGTCTCAGGAGAGAGATGTGTGTGTGCATATCTTTGATCACACCATGAGTCCTGGTAGGGGTTGCAGTGATTTCTAAACTGTGTTCTGGTAGGTTATGGCTCGGACCACAATATCCAGAATCCATATTCTGAGTCCTCAGGGGCTATGGCCTTGGCCTGGCCAGACCTTCTTACCCTTCTGGGGGCGTGGAGGCTGAGGCCCCTCGATCTTGTGCCAGTGGTCCTGATGAGGACGGCTGCTGTTTTGACAGAAAGGGGAATGAGTGAGGACCTGGACTTCTGGAGCCAGGAACATTCAGCTGTAAGACCTTGAGTAAGGAGGTGATCATGGGCCATGAGATAGTCACCATCCTTTGCCCTGTGAAGTAGCTGGAAGTCTCTAACAAGTAGGTCCTTGAAAAGTGGAAGGAGGTAATTCTTTACCATTACTTTTTTTTTTTTTTTGCTTCTCACTGCATCAGAGTTGAGACTGATGCGCCACCCAGAGCCAACACCCCAGCACAGGTGAGCAAGGAACCAGGGCCCAATGGGAAGAGACCTGTCAGGTCTCAGCTGCTGACTTGAGGTCTGTTTCTCCAAGCTCTAAGTGTGAGATTAAAGCATGGGTCTGGTCTGAGCAGAGAGTCTTGGCTTGTGTTGGAGTAGGCTGGCTGTGGGCCCATACCTTCATGACACCCAAGAGGTCAAAAAGGAGGCTGCAGGTTGTGTAGGGGATTCTCCCCCCACACCCCCAGGGTACCAGAGTTTCCTGGAGAAGGTGGGTAGACAGTGAATGAATTCGGAACCAGCCTCACAGCCCCTGGTGCCTGCACCTGAGCAGGATTTTACCTCTTGTGTAATAGGCTTAGGGCTAGGCTAGAAGACTTTAAGGACAGTAAAGACTTGTGGGTGGGGGAAATTGACTTGGTCACAAGATTTTGTGGGGAGGAGGAAGCAGCTTGTCTGTGTTAAGTAGCAGGTTTCCTTTGGGGTGTGGTCCCCAGGCCTCAGGGAGGTCCTGTGCCACTTCCACCTCCACTTGATAAAACTCAGAGCCACACCCAGGGGCCTGGAAGCTCCTAACCCTCCCCAGCACTGGCCTCTCAGCTCTGGCCCAGAGGACTTGGGGCCAGGGCATGGAGAGGAGACTTAATAGGATGGATGGCAGAAAAGATGCTTCTGTTGTCATGGCAAGTGACACGATTCTTTATTTTTTAATTTTTAAATATTCATTTATTTATTTGGTTTTTTGAGACATAGTGTTGCTATGTAGTTCAGGCTGGCTTTGAACTCCCTGTGTAGCCAGGCTGGCCTCAACCTCATGGTAATCCTCCTGCCTCAGCCTTCCAAGTACTGAAATTATAGAGGGGTGCCACCACGCCCAGCTTTTATTTTTTAATTTTGAGACAGGGTCTTGCTAAGTTGCCTAGTCTGAGGTAGAACTTGCATCCACCACCACATCCAGTTCCTGTTGTTTTATTATGTAGAGTTCTTCTTTACCCATTTAGCCCTAGAAGGTGGGAACAAGTGCAATTCAGAATCTGTTCTGGAGCCTGCTCCAGAGAGTTGTGGCTGTCCCTCTGGTGGAAGTGCCAGGAAGTAGGGTGAAGGCACTGTCCACTGGCAAGCCCAGTCTCAGACCTCTTGATTCCTATACCTTCAGTATATTTATAGGAAAGAGACCAGTGAAGAAGTTGAGTTCATAATCTTCCTCTTCCCTTCTGTGTATGCTCAGTGTTGCAGACAGTGTGTTCTGCTGTCCTGTTGCTTGGTGTTGGATCCTTGCAGGCTCAGAGCTGCAGTTCTGGTCCCATGCTACAGCTTCCTGTGCCAAGGGCCAGTGTGTCCCCTCCTTGTCATGCCTCTGTTTGCAGTTTTTCCACTGTTGGAATTTCTCTAGTGTTTTGCTGTTGTAAGCAGAGTTGCTATGAATATACTTGAACTTTGGTTTTCTTTGGGTCATTTCTTGGGCACTTATCTTGGGGAACAGAGGTGGCAGCTGATTTATTGCCTTGTTTTGTGCCCAGGCCTGATTTGCTGCCCTGACTGCCCACTTGTCTCCAAATGTTTTTCTTTGTTTGTTTGGGTTTTTTTTTTGGTACCGGGGATCGAACTTGGGACCTTGTGCTTGCGAGGCAGGCACCAGAACCACTGAGCCAAATCCCCAGCCCAAATTGGAAATTTCTTTTTTTTTTGGTACTGGGGATTGAACTCGGGTCTTTGCGCTTACAAGGCAGGCGGCAGAACCACTGAGCTAAATCCCCAGCCCTTGTCTCCAAATGTTGTGGGAGGAGGTTGGGGCCATGGGAAGAGGCCAGGGCCATCTCTGAGAAGATAGAAGGTATGGAAGTCCCATGCTGAGGCTGTATCCCTGATGCAGTAATGGGAAGGGGTGGCCTCAGCATGGGGGCCAGGGCCAGGTAGGTCCCCTGGCTAGTGGCTGACACACTGCCTTTACCTGGCTTGAGGGCCCTGGCCAGCTTGGCAAGAATTGTGCAAACCATACAGGCCATAGCTGTCTGCTGGCCCAAGGATGCAGAGCATTGCCTAATTTGTTTTCTTCTCACCTTAGTCAATACTGAGGTTTTCCTGAGAGTTTCTTCCCTCTGACTTGCTGTTGGCCCATGCTCTGTGGGGTGTCCTCCTTCCCTCCCTTGGGGCTCAGGGCTTGGGTCACGTGGAGACCCCACTGGCATGCAGTACCCTTTGCTTCTCAACAGGACTCATCTGGGACCAGGTTGCTGCCTCCTCCACAGCCCAAGTTTCAAGGGCATTGGTTGTAGAGGGTGCAGCTTCCTGGAAGTGCTCTGGTTTATACATGGAGGTAGTGGTAGATCTTCTCCAAGGGATTATTACCCCATTTCCTAGGTGAGGCCACAAGGCTCAGAGCTGACCACAAGGCTCAGAGGGTCCTTACCCTCTGAGAGAGAATATGAGCAAGCTGGCAGTCCATGTAAGGAGAGCTAGTGAGTGAAGGGCCTTGCAGAACCAGTTGAGCAGAGGAAGGGCCATGATTGTTCTCCACCACTGGTCATCAGTCATATCTGCTTTCGCTTTGTTGGCCCAGGTCCTTTTTTTTTTTTTGATACAGGGAATCAAACTCAGGGCCTCAAGTTTTCCAGGGAGGCACTGCACCACTGAGCTACATCCCTAGCTCTGGCCCAGTCCTAAGGCCAAAGAAAGGGAGGCTTTTGAGGTGAAGCCACATTTGACTGCACTGAAAGCTGAGCTGCATCACAGGAGGCTGGCAGTTCTGCTGCCTTGGTGTCTGTCCTAGCCAGCTGTGGCCAGGGAGCTGTGTTCAGACTCTTCCCTGCCTTCAGTCTTGGCAGCTCCTCTGGCACACTGATCTGGTGGCACATAGAACAGTGGTGGCCAGCTGTCAGAGAGACTGTCATTGTGGGCATTGGTCTGGGCCTCTGGTGTCAGCCCGGTGTAGCCCTCACCCTGCTAGTCTTCTAGATACCTCCCTGCTCCTGCTCATAGCTCTTGAACACTAACGCCACACCAGGCCCCAGGCCTTAAATGGCTCAGACACTGCAGGGCTGCCTCCAGCCCAAGCGATCAGTCTGGAGACTCATTAATGAGCAGACTCATTAGCGAGGTGACTAGGTTGAAGATGAAAGTGTGTCAGTTGGATATGGAGGCTCCTTGGAGAAAGGACTCATTGAGGCAGGAGCTTTTGAGCTGGATTTCAATGATGAAAAGAGTCACAACAGAGAGGTCAAACAGTGGGGCTGTGAGTCTTGGGAGTGTTGAATGATTACTAGAGTAGGGTGAGACAGGAACAGGTTAGGGTGCAGATTCCTGGATGACAGAGGCAGGCATTGACTATCCCCTGGGTCTCCCCTGGCATGATCTTAGTGTGGCCTGCTGAGCTTTTTATGGCTGGTGCATGTCTGGATGAGAAGGACTGATGAGGTCCCTTTGTATCTGCCAGAGCCCAGATGGCCCTGGGGAAGATGATGTGCCAGCCTGAGACTGGGTCTGGGGGTGCTCAGGGCCCTATCTAATGCCAGGAGGTATAGGGGTGCCAGTCTTGTGCTCTGAGGCTGAGAGACCACAGGCAGAGAAGATCTGACACTGTGTACTGCTTGCCTTGCAGTTTGCATGACCAACTGCCCAACACTCATTGTCATGGTGGGCCTGCCAGCCAGGGGCAAGACCTACATTTCTAAGAAGATGACCCGATACTTGAACTGGATTGGAGTACCCACTCGGGGTGAGGCTCTGCGGGACACTGGGGATTTGTTGTGAGGGGAAGGGAGAGGGGAGGCTGGATGGTGGACAGGAACTGGGGAAGATCCCATCAGGGATTGGTGGGGTTGCTGCTCTGTGAAAGCTGAGCCTTTCCTTCCCCCAGAATTCAACGTTGGCCAGTATCGCCGGGACATGGTCAAGACCTACAAATCTTTTGAGTTTTTCCTCCCAGACAATGAAGAGGGCCTGAAAATCAGGAAGTAAGCATGTTGGGGATCACTGCTGTTGAGATGGTTAACAAGTTGCTGCCCATTTGCTGAGAAGCCCCTGAAGCCTCAAGCCAAGCTGCTCATGCAGGCCCGAGTCGCTCCTGAGCCTGGCCTGCCTTGTCGCCAGCACTGTGTGATGGGGCTGGTCTCTTGAACTCTAAGGATGTGGTTGAGTTGGGACGTGATGGGTTTGGGGATGAGAGGAGAGGCTCTGTGGCCTCCTGGTGGCTGGTCCCTGCTCTGGTGTTGAGGACCCCTGGTCAGGAAATCCTGTGAGAGGGAAGCTTCCTTAGGACAGGTCAGGGGCTACTGTCTGTGCTGCATGGGTGGGGAGAGCAGCCCTAGAAGGTGCCCTGACACAGGCCTCAGGAATAGACCAGGGTGGGGCTTTCCTCTCTTGCCCCAGGATAAACCCCCTCCTCTGCGCATGTTGGCTATATCTACTGTGTGCTTGGCATGATCTTGGCATGTATGGGCTAGGCCTCAACTTTATTTGAAGTGTCTGGGATGCTGCTGCTGGGTGAGTAGTTCTCACTGGTATTCGGAGACTGAGCTTGCATATGATTCCCCACTCTCCACCTCATTCAGATGCAGGGCTTTCTCCAAGGCACTGGGTACCACTGGTGGTCCGAGGAACCACACTATGCCCTTCTTGTCAGGGGTTAGCAGGGCCAAGAAGCCCCCTCTCAGCCTTGAGTGGCAGAGACTTGACTGAGCTCTGCCATCATGGCAGGGGAATGAGTAGAAGTTGGCCAAGCTCTAATGACTTCTCCAAATCAAGCCCAGCATTAGGGCAGAGACCACATATAGGGCTCTCTTCCAGCTGCCCCCAGACTCCCCAGACTGGATACTTGGCTGTGTATTCCTTCTCTGGCCACCAGAGGGCAGGTGCTCCCTAGTGTGCTCTTGTATTGTTGGGGCTGGGCCTGGTTGAAGCACCAAGAAGGGGAGTCTGACTTTCAGGTTCCTGTGGCCAACTTGTGTGTAAAACTCAAGGCTGGGTTCTCTGGTGATATGGAGTCAGATAAAAGGGAGAGGACTGACAGCTGACCCTTGTGTGGGCTGGGTGTTTGAGGCCCATTGTCACACACACACAACCTTACACATGAGGGAATTGAGGCCCAGGCCAGAAGCTTCACACAAATAATAAGTTATTTTACATTTGAATCTAGGTTGTCATGAATCTAAGCCCATTTACCACTAAAAACTATCCATTCAAAAATTACCCAATTAGTAGGTGAAAGAACATACCAAATGCAGATTTTAAAGCAATCCCAAGGTATGGGCATGGACAGAACAGCTCATTTGAGCTTTCTGCAGCTTTAGCAGGTGGGAGTAGTGCCTTGCTTTCCCAGATGCAGAGACTGGGGTCAGGATGGGATGGTGTTGTCTGGGGCCATTCAGGGTGTGAGTTTGAAACCAGGCCTCACTGAATCCAAAGTGTTTGTGGGAAAACCAATTATGGGAGGCTGATCAATCCTCTGATCAATCTGCCTAGAAAGGGGGACGGCAAGGGCTAAAGAAAGACAATAGAGACTTGTGTTATTTCATAGTACATGAGGGGCTGGGAGATCAGTGCCTCAGAGTGAGCAAAGACAAAGACTCTCCCGAGCTAGCCATTATGTATTTGGTACACACAGTAATAGGAGGGAGTATCAGGTGACTTAGGGTGAGGTGGTAATCCTTAATGAAGATTTTAGGTTGCTGAGATCTTCTGTTGATGAGGAGGGTAAGGAGAGCTTTCTTATAATAGAAGGTGGGACAAGATAGCAGGCTGATAAAGAATTTGTCCTTCCCCCAGGTGAAACTTTTATCTTTTTTTTTTGGTACCCTCCATCAGATCGGATTGAACTCGGGTCCTTGCGCTTGCCAGGCAGACCACGGAACCACTGGGCTAAATCCCCGGCCCAACTTTTATCTTTTTTAAAAATTTATTTATTACTACTGATTCTCGAAGAACCAGGATGTCTTCAGCTGATGTACTGTTGTCCTTGAGTCTCACAGTGTCATGGGACCACTGAGGCCTCAGTTTGAGACTGGAAGCAAATCAGAGTTATGTTTCCACATGCCACAGCCAGCTCTCAGGCAATGTGACATTGGGCCTTAGACAGCTATAGTCATGCTTTAATTATGAAATGATTTTTCCCAAAAAATTACCTAGAATGGCCCTCGACAACCAGTGGAGCTAGCCCAGGTCTGTCTGCCACTCTGCTCAAGCCAGCCCTCAAAGGTAGGGGCATTGGAGTAATTCAGATGGGATGCTAGGTTCAGCGAGGCTGGGAGCTAGCCCAAGGTCACCCAGGGGAACACAGGGCCCTGTGACAGAAGCCAGGGGTAAGCTCGTGAGTCATGTTGCCAATTTGCAGACATGTTCTCTACTGTTCCTAAAACTCTTCTTTCTGCATCCAAAGCCTGCATTGGGCCACAGGGCCATTTCCTGTTAAATAGGCCCCAAATTTCCTGTAAATAATTGACAAAATAAAAGGATCAGAAGTTTTTAAAATGAACTGGATGAGGTGGTACACTCCTGTAATCCTAGAACTTGGGAGGCTGAGGCAGGAGGATCTCCATGAGTTTGAGGCCAGTCTGGGCTACGTAAGTTCAAGGCTAGCCTAAGCTATATGTCTCAAAAAATAAAAAGTTTTAAAAATGGAAAACCTGGGAAGGGAGGGCTACATTTCCCAGAGGTCCAGTTACTCACACATTGTTTTTGGGTTTTTTTTGAGAATACAATTATTTAATAAATAAGAAACTAGTTTAATATGGTAGTAGTATTAAGCAAAAGTAATAAGATGAAAGAAAAAATTTCAGATGACTGAGACTGGCAACTTACTTTATCCAAGGTCACAAAGAAATCCAGAATTTTGAAGAGCAATCATAAGAGGAGGGCCAGAATGATAACTGCAGTTTAGCTCTACTAACAGTCACTTCCCTGCAGTGAGACAGAAATAGCTAAGGACTTAACACAGTAAATTCTCCATAATATGCTCTACCCTCCTCATATATTGAAAGCTTCTCTGTTTTAATATGTTAATTTCACCACAGTAAAGTTTTCACATGGAGCCATGGGATGGTTAAAATTATTGTCCAACTTACTGGCTTGAGAGAGGCCTAGGATACTAGTAAAACACATGCCTGTGTGCATCTGAGTGGGACAAGGAGGCATGACCTAAGAGATTACAATTGCCCCTTGTTCCTATCTTCTCAGGCTCTTTCCCTGATGAATAGTCTCCTTTGGAAGGCTGAAGAGTTGTCGTTGGAAGCTGAAAGTAGCTTGAGACCAACATCCAAAGACAAAAGCAAATACCAGAGCTCCTCTATAGGAAAAAAAAAAGGGGAGACTTCTTTTTCCCCCTTTTACTCCACCTAAGACACAAGCTTATTGGTTGGTGCCAAACACATACAGAGTTGGTCTTCCTTCCATAGTTTGACTCACACATTGTTGATGACCCCAAAGCTACACAATGTTAACACTCTCCCAGTGGAAGGTCTAGAAAAGTGTATAACTGTCACATATACATATGTAAGAGCACACGCACATGTATGCCACCTAGTGTATTCACAGTCCTGCACACATACCTCATGTGCACGTATCTGGATGCCCCTATATGTATAGATAGATGCATACACACATGCACATTCCTTGTGCACACACACAGACTATACATGTATGTATATATGTATGTGCATATGTACATGGGCATCTACACATATGAATACTTGAGCTCATTCACACATGTGCAGTACTACTCCCAGTCACACCATACACAAGGGCATGTGCATACACAGGCACACATGTACTCACCCTGTGTGTGCACATACACACCTAAGCACACTCAAGCATGGTGTATCAGGAGTCTTCAAGACCACCCTCAGGCTCAGTGATCTGCTAGGACGACTCCCAAGACTTGGCACATAACTGAACTAAGGCTTATTATGGTGCAATGATGCAAAGTAGAATCATCAAAGGGAACAGGTGTATGGGTGCAGTCTGAGTGTCCTCTCCCTGGAGTCATACAGGGTGCACTTAAGTCCCCCACCACTGAATTGTGGCAACACATGTAAGGTGTTGTCTACCAGGAAAGTCCCTTGGAAACCCAATGGCCAAGATTTCTATTTGGAACTGGTCGCATAGGCATCCTTTGTCTGGCATTTTCCAAAATTCCAGCTTCCCAGTTGGAAACCAGTTATGCAGCATAAACCATATGTTTATGTAAACAATATGTTGCTCTTATTATTCAGGGAAAGTTTTATGTCAGTGTAGGGAGCTGCACACAGTGCATACACACTTGTGCTCATCTGGTATGTACACATTGGTCTGGGCACACATACACGCAAAGCACACCCATGTATGTGCTCAGACAATTATGTACTCCACAAAAGCATGTGTACACACACCCTGTATATATGCACGTGGTTGCATACACATTTATGCACTGCTTGGACAAACTCATACATACCCTAGATACATGCATGTGGGTACATTCCCCATACCTGTGCCCACTCAGCCACATACTACACATGAGGGTATGGTCACACTCATGTGCATGCCCAGCCAAGCTCACACATGCACACTCACAGATCTACAGGGCCACACATAGGCATAGCACACACATACTTGCCCACACATGCAGATGAATGCACGTGTGGATCCACTCACCCTTACACACATGTGCCCACAGGTTCCTAACCTGTTCCCCCAGCATCTCCACTGGACCCTGAGTTCCCTCCCAGATGCTGGAACCACAGGCAGAGAAGCCCCTGAAAGATCGTCGACCAGTACTTGGGACCCCATTGCAGGGAGAAAGAAGTAGCCCAGCAATGACAGTTTTCTAGACTCTCAGAATTCAGTTTTTGGCAGAAGAAGAAAGCGCTTTGAGGATTAAGAAAAAGAGCTATTGGGGAACAGAAAGGTCTCAAGGAGGCATGGAGCAAGACTCCTTCAAGTAACCTAGACTGTTCCCACTGGTTTCTCCATGGCTCCCAGCAGACTGGAGCATCTGCCTGTGCACTTTAGCACACTGGCTTCACGAGAGCCTCACAGTGTACTTCTTTGACTTGACCCAAAGGGAGCTTATGCACAAAGTCCAAAGGTCAAACAAATGGAATGAGATCTAGCTTAACTCTTATGTTGAAAAGGTGACAGTTACAGACGGAAAAAATAAAATGAGTTTGGGCCAGGGATTTAGCTCAGTGGTTCCGCCGCCTGCCTCTCAAATGCAAGGACCCGAGTTCAATCCCTGGTACCAAAAAACAAAAACAAAAATAAAAGGAGTTTATCTATCTCCAGGCTAATACAGAAATGGATAAAAAAGGAAAGGTCTTTCCTTGTGCCAGTCCATTCTGAAGCATGAGTAGAAGAGCTGAGATTCTGGAGACAGTGTAGCCCACAGTGTGGTGAGGAGGAGAGTCACAAGTTGCAGAGGTCTATGGACGTGGGCTGAAGGTGGTGGTAACTCCTTCCTCCAGGAAGAGGTGTGGAAGTGCTTTCTCCCAGGACAGAAAATCGAACATTAATCTTAGTGTTGCCCTGGAGAATAGCCAAAGTGTTTTTCCTATCCCATCATCAGACACACACACACACTTCTGACTATAACTACTTATTTATTTATTTTTGTTACTGGGGATTGAACTCGGGACCTTTATAACGACTTATTTTGATAGTCAGGGGAAATGTATGACACTTCGGAATCATGATTATGGCAACCTTGGCAGCATGGGTATATACAAAATGAGATGAGGCAATTACAGAAAAGTTTTAAAATCATTGCTAATGGCCAGGTGCACATACCCTTCCACCTTACAGGAACAGAGTTAGCCAGACACTGAGAATTAATGAAATTTTACTGAAAATGAAGGAGAAAGGGAACTTAAAAACAAACAGTACCTAGAGGCAGTACCCTCTCTGGTAGGGCACGTACCTAGCAGCCAGGGCTCAGTCCATCGCTGATTCTGTTTTCTGTCTCAAAGGCAGTGTGCCCTGGCAGCCCTGTGTGATGTCCGGAGGTTCCTCAGTGAGGAGGGAGGACACGTGGCGGTAAGTTCGATACCTTGGTGACAGCTGGGAGTGAGACACGGAGCCCATATGTATCTACCCTTTGCTTGTCAGGCACTGGGGCGGGGGGTGGAGGGGAGGCAGGGTATGTGCGTCTGGATGTGCCTGGGTGCCAGACCTGGAGAGAAGTCTGGCAGCCCCGCAGGAGGAAACCGGGGACTATCTGGGTCCGGAGTTGCCTTTTGGGCTTGTGGCTGTGTTGGACCCTGCAGGCCTTCCCTCTCGGGCTGTATGACACCTAAGTCTTTTGCACATGTGATTTCTGCTGGCATGGTGAGTCCTGCCTACTGTTCACTGCATGCTTGTTTGCTGGTCAAGGCCAGGGAAGGGAGTTTCACTGTGTGGTGGCCCTTGTGGTCAGCTGGAAGGGGGAGACAAGCTGAGCTGGGGTGCCTGTGCTCAGACAGAGGTCGTTCTTTCCCTTCCTTGGAGTTGTGCCCCTTGGAGCTCTCTATCCCCAGTTCCAGTCTGGATTAGCTGCCTGTGGCATGACCATCATCCGGGAGTTCCTTCTCCTCTCCTGGGTTGAATGCCCTGCCCCATATCTTGTCCTTGGGTACTGACTCATTTTGTTGAAACACATCCATCCAGCAGCTTCCTGAGAAAGATGCTTGGGAAGTAAATTGTGCCTTCCAGATCAGAAGTGGCTTTTTTTTTTTGGTACCGGGGATCAAACTGGGGTCCTTGCGCTTGTGCAGCAGGCGGTGAAATCACTGAGCTAAATCCCCAGCCCAGAAATGGCTTTTTAAAATCCTTGCATAAGATTGTTGAGTATAGAATTCTAGGAGGAAACAACTTTTTCCTTACAGTTTCCACAACATTGCTCTGTTGTCTTGTGGCTTTTAGTATGGCTGTGGAGAAATGTGATGTCTTTGATTTGCTTGTCTTCCCGAAAGTCTCATCTTTTAGAGAGAGCTGGGGTTTCCTCTTGTTCCTTCTCTTCCAGAGGCCCTTGAATCTTCAAGGCAGTGTGCCCTGTGGTGGGTCTTTTTATCTTTTCCTTCATTTCCTCTGTCTTTTTTTTTTTGGTACCAGGGATCGAACTCAGGACCTTGCGGTTTCGAGGCAGGTGCCAGAACCACTGAGCTAAAGCCCCGGCCCGGTCTTTTTGTTTTGTTGGAGACTTTCTCAACATTGTAAATATTTGGCTGAGTTTTTTTTAAAAATTCTTTTATTGGTACATTTTAGGTATACAATACATTTACATTCATCATTGGGAACTTGTACCTTTGCATGATGTATATTGGTTCTTATTTTTTCCCCATTCCCCTGCCCTCCCTTCAACCCCTCTACCCCTCCCTATTTCCAAAGGCTGTGTTTCTGTTTATTTCTTATCTCATATTTTTTCCTTTCCCTTCTTTCCTTTCCCCTACCCCTTCCACTTCCCCTACCCCTTTGGACCTTTTCTTCCTATTTCACATTATCAATTATTCATTTTAATCCTTATTTACACTTTCAGTTTCTCATACCAGAGAAACTATTTGGTATTGGCTCTTGGCTGAGTTTTTAAAAAATTTCAGTGATCATCCTTGAGTGAGTATTCCAATTTTAGAACTCTGTTCTTTCATGGTTACTATATCCTTTCATATCTCTCTTTGCACTTTTTAAAAAAAAAACCAGGTATATTTCAGGCTGGCCTTTAGCTAACTGTGTGGCCCAGACTGGGTTAGAACTCGGAACAGTGATTTTCCTATCTCAGCCTCCTGAGCACTGGAATCACAGGAGTGTGCCACTATGCCTGGTTTATATCTCTGTTTGGGGGGGCGGGGTTTGGTACTGGGAATTGAACTCAGCCTCACGCTTGGCAGGTAGCACTACACTGCTGAGCTATATCCCCAGCTCTCATATCTCTGTTTGAATGGCTTTAAGATTTTTTGTTTGTTTGTTTTTGATGTTTTCTCCTATTCTGTGTCCTGTTTTTTATTTCTTCCAAATTTGTTTTTTGGGTTTGATTGATTTAGCCTATGTTTTTCTTGTTAGAGGTTTCCTGGAGTATCTGGTGAACCTAATTGATGCCCTCTTTTTTATTTGTTGGTGTTTTCAGTACTGGGTATTAAAGTCAGGGTCTCCCATGTGCTAGGCAAAGGCTATATCCCTAGTCCTTTTTTTTTTTTTTTTTTTTGGTACTGGGGATATCCCTAGTCCTTTTTTTTTTTTTTTTTTTTTTGGTACTGGGGATTGAACTCAGGTCCTTGCACTTGGGAGGCACCTAGCCCATTTTGTTTGTTTGTTTTGCTTTTCTGAGACATGGTCTTGCTAAGTTGTCTAGGCAGGTCTTGAACTGTGATCCTCCTGCCTCTACTTTCTCTGTTTCTTTTAGTCACTCCTGTCTGTTTTACATTTTGTTGACATTTCCATCTCCTGCCCCATCCTCTCTTGTTCTCCTTGTCCTCTGTTCCCCTTTACTCAGGTTTCAGAATGGAGTATAAATAAATGTAGGTTCAGTTCACCAGACATTAGTCTGTTTTTTGTTACTGTAACAAAATACTTGAGGCAGACTAACTTTGTAGAGAAAAGTGGTTTATTTAGATCACAGTTTTAGAAGCTAAGAGCTCAGAATCAGGTAGCCTCATTGGCTCAGCTTTTGTTGAGGACCTCATGGCATCATGGCTGGAGCCTGCATGGGAGAAAGAGGTTACATCTGAACACCAGAAGCCTGAGAACTGGGTGTGGCAGACTTACCTTTTTATCACAGCCCTCTTGGGAGTACTACCATACACTCGGGGACCAGCCACATCCAGACTGCACTGCCAGGGTTAATTGGTTTCTCTGGAATTTCTGCTGGCCACACACTGCCTAAGCACCTGCTGTGTGCGAAATGTTGCAGAGTGTTCCTCTGTACAAGTCTGGAGGACACTGGCTGGTCAGTGGCCTGGCTGGGTCTGGCAAAAAGCCCAGCATTGGCAAGAGATGCTTGTGCTGCAGCCCTCAGGTGCCTCCTGCCTTCCTGGGGCCAGAGCTGAGTTAACTCCAGTTTGGTCCTAGGTTTTTGATGCAACCAACACTACTAGAGAGCGGAGAGCAACGATCTTCAATTTTGGGGAGCAGAATGGCTATAAGGTGAGGCCTCTTCCATGCCCCTCCTTGGCCGGGCAGTTGCACATCTGGACCCTCAGGGTTCACAGCCTCCTGACGCATGCAAGGCTGTGGGCTGCCATGGATTCTGAAGGGAACATTTGGGATGAGAGAGGCTGTCCTTACTCTTCTCCTGGACTTTTCTTTTGGTGGGATCAGGGTGGCACTTCCTTTAGCACATTGGCCTTTAACACTATTCCCTTAGAAGAAGGGCCTGAGGGAGCGGAAAATGCTAGGAACAAGGCCCAGGGCCTTAAGGAACCTGTGGTTCCTTTTCTCCTGCCTACCCAAGTGCTTTTGGCTCTTATTGCAGACCTTCTTTGTTGAGTCCATCTGTGTGGATCCTGAGGTCATAGCTGCCAACATTGTGGTGAGTGTGCATCTGACCTTGTTGGGGGCAGTAATGAGATAGAAAGTGACAGTGAAGTCCTTCTCTAGGTTTGGGTTAGTGCCTGGCTGCTCTTCATCCGAGTTTCTTGAACCTTTTGGGATAGGAAAGCAGTGTAGTCACCTGCATGGGTCAGGAGAGCCTGTAGCCCGAGGATCACTCATGTGGCTCACTGCATGGCTCATGGGTGTACCTTTTTGCTCCTCTCTTGTACCTTTCCCCTCCCTCCTCTCTTGAGAGTCCCTGAACAGTGGGAGAAGAGCTTCAGCCCGAAGGATGTATGTCACAGGGTTCTATTCCCCACTCCCAACTCTGTCCCTTACCCCCTCTGAAGAGAGGACTGTGTGGGTTTGGGGAGATGGGACAGGGCAGGGAAACGCTTCTAGGCCTCCCTGAGCCACAGAGGTGGGGAACTCTGATCTCAAGACTTTAGTGTGCAAACTCAGCCCAGGGGGCTGCTGGACTTTTCCCACACTCAGCTTCAAGTCAGCACCCCAAGCCCTGGCCTAGTCTCCCTCACCCCTGCCCAGCAGTCTCCTTGATCTCTGGCCCTGTCTGGCCCCCAACCCTGATGTATCCTCGCCCTGTGCCTGGCTCTGGCAGCAAGTGAAGCTGGGCAGCCCCGACTATGTCAACCGGGACAGTGATGAGGCCACCGAGGATTTCATGAGACGAATTGAGTGCTACGAAAACTCCTATGAGTCTCTGGATGAGGACCTGGACAGGTGAGAGAGTAGAGCAGCTGTGGTGAGTGGGTGGTAGGGGTTGCGCTTGGCTGCCTCCTTGTGGCCTCCCTGTGGTGGTGACTGGGGACCACGCCAGAAAGCAGATGGTCTGACTTTTTTTGTTTCTTTCCTTGAGGCAGAAATCATTGGCCAGAGGTGACTTGCAGAACACCTGTTACCTCATCTGGAACTGTGCAAGTCAGGACTTTCTACTGTTTCAGCACAGAATCAAGCCTGATTTCTGTGCAGAGGGGCCTCCATGGCACTGCAGACATCACATGCTTGTCTCTCAGTGTGCAGTCTGCGTGGGGAGGGGAGGACAGCTGCCTGTGTGGATGGGAAGAGCGAAGCATTCCTGTGTGGAATGGTCCAAGGCGGTGTCTGGCTGAGGGTCTTACAGCTGGGATCAGCAAGTATTTTCTGTAAGGGTCCAGAGTGACTATTTAGGTGTTGGAGGATTTATAGTCTCTGTTTTAGTTAGTCAGCTCTGCTGTTAACAAGTACAAAAGAAACAGGATGTAAATAAATGAGCATGGCTCTGTTCCAATAAAACTTTGTGAAAGGAGCCTGTAGGGTGGCTTTGGCTTACTGGCCATGGTTTGCCAACTCCAATCTCTCAGCATAAAGTCAGTGGTTAGGTAAATAACAGTGTAGCCCTTGGAAAAATATTACATCACCCTTATAAATTATAACTATGGAGGGCCAGGGATTTAGCTCAGTGGCACTGTGCATGCCTCGCAAGCGCAAGGTCCTGAGTTCGATCCCTGGTACCAAAAAAAAAAAACCAATTATAACTGCAGAGACATGAGGGGATGTGTGTTGTGCAGCATTAAGTAAAAGACTAGAATATGAACGTGTACTTGGGTCCTTTATAATTACAGAAGAGTATGTAATTAATGTGAACCAAGGCACACACACAGCCATTAGAGGGAGGGATTCTGGGAGGTTATGGCAGAGTTGTCCCTCGACTGCCATGGCCGAGACATCTGTCCCCCCCCCACCCTTGCTGGGCTCAGAAGCCAGCCCAGGTTGGGGTGGAGCTGAGTGGCACCTGGGCTCCTGCTGGCCTCCATGCTCTCCCTTGTCTCCGCATACATTTCTGTTTCTTCTCATTGCTCTATGATGTGGCCATACTAGAGGGGGTTGTCTGGAGCAGCTCCTGTCAGATTTGTCAGCAAAAGTGGCTCCTGTTTTTCCTGGTGGTGTCAGGGTGATGACCCTAAACCAAGGCCACAGAGTCCTACAGTGAAGACCAGATGAGAACATCCAGAGGGCTCTGAGGCTGAGTCACAGTTGGTCCTACTCCTGCCAACATAAGTGAGCTCTCCCAGCTGTAGTGCTGCCCAGGTCCAGAGCAGAGAGAGGGTGAGCTGGACTCATGGTCTTGTCTACTGCCTGCCTGGAGCAAGACGTGGCAGCTGCTCAGCACACCTGGGTGACCTGGACTGGGGTCCTGGGGGAGGAATCAAGGGGAAGGAGAGCTGACCAGGAAGCATTTGCCAGCCATTCCCAGGCTAGCCCTGGGGAAGCTGGCTCTGTGTTCATTGTGCAGCCTGCCTGTTCAGATCTGTAGGCAAGGAAGGGTCAGGCACGTGTGAGCAGCGGTCATGATGTGTGGTGGCTGGCTACTGCTTTGGATGTCACCTTCAGAAGCATGATAAGCACTGAGCACTTCTCACAGGGCTTGTCTGTATGTCACATGTGGCATGTTGCTCCTGCCTCCCACCTATCACTTGCACACCAGCTGATGGTCCTGTGTGTTGTGACTCAAGCCTAGTGCTCATGGATGCAAGACTTTACCCCTGGTTCCTGTGACTGGCCATATGTGTTCTGAGGGCCCCAGCCCCACTCACAGGCCTCTCTCTACCTTCTCTATGGAAAGGGATCTGTCCTATATCAAGATCATGGACGTGGGGCAGAGCTATGTGGTGAACCGAGTAGCTGACCACATCCAGAGCCGAATCGTGTATTATCTCATGAACATCCATGTGACACCCCGGTCCATCTACCTCTGCCGGCATGGGGAGAGTGAGCTCAACCTCAAGGGCCGGATTGGTGGGGACCCAGGACTGTCCCCTCGGGGCCGGCAGGTCAGTGTGTGTCCTGTGTGTGTGTGTGTATGTATGTCTGTGCGCTGTACCTCTGGGTGGCTGGATAGATGTATGTGTGTGTATAGGGGCTAGGCCTCTGCTCCGTAGCTAATGTACACTTGATGACTTTCATTCAGTCTGGAATGTTCCTCTCCTGTAGGAAGGGTCACAAGCACCAAGCAAATCCCTGGACCTATGATCTCCATGTGAGCTGTCACCAGCTTAGTCCCTTTACTGGCAGTCATCCCACCCTTGCAGTGACCTGAGTTCTAACAGCACAGCTGATGATTGTGCCACAATCTAAGGGGATCTTGGGGCCTTGTGGGGAGATTGTGTGGCCTGGGCACATGAACTGGAGTAGAGGGTCGATGAGGCATGGCTGGAGCTGTCTCAGGGTCTGGGGGAGTGAACAAGATCACCCTTGTGGGTGTGTGTAGTTGGGAGGTTAGCTCGTATTTTTTCTAAACCTGTTCTCTGAGGAGTAGATGGACCCTGTCTCTCTAGTCCTTTGAGGGCTGCTTGGAACCTGTGGTCTGAATTGGCTTGTGATGTGTTTCAGTTTGCCAAGAGCCTGGCTCAGTTCATAAGTGACCAGAACATCAAGGATCTGAAGGTCTGGACAAGCCAGATGAAGAGAACAATCCAAACAGCAGAGGCGCTGGGTGTGCCCTATGAGCAGTGGAAGGTCCTCAACGAGATCGATGCGGTAACCACCATCCCTGCTCCTACCTGCCTCCTGGGGACAGAGCTGAGGATTAGGGAGAGCCTCCTTCACTTGCTTCATTGTTGTTTTTGATTTGGGTTTTTTTGTGTACTTACTGAGGAATGACCCCAGGGAGTGCTGAACTAGCCCATTTTATTTTATTTTGAGTCAGGCCATCACTAACTTGCCCTGGCTGGCCTGTTTTGTTTTGTGTTTTGTTTGTTTTGAGACAGGGTCTGCTGTGTTGCCCAGGCTGGTGTTGAACTTGCCAGTCTCCTGAGCAGCTGGGATCACAGGTGTGTGCTGCTGTGTCTACAAGCTTTGTTGTTTTCTTTGATTCCTTACTTGCTCTCTTTTGGATTTAAATTAGACTAACCAAGGGGCCGGGGATTTAGCTCAGTGGTTCTACTGCCTGCCTTGAAAGCACAAGGTCCCGAGTTTGATCCCCAGTACCAAAAAAAAAAAAAAAAGATTAAATTAGATTAACCAAAATTTATTTGGATGTTCCAACAAAAGCCTTAAATCTGGTCTTGTCCTGGTTAACTCATTCACCTCTAACCATCTCTCTATCCTTTTCCTGTCAACTTATTTTACTTACTTTTATATGAAGTTTTTACACATGGTATATGTGTCTGTTTATGCACCAGGATCACATTGTTTTGCTTATGGTAGATCTTGCTATGTTTATTTGCTATTGGGATATCTTTTGCTTTTTTTGTTCAATCCTATTGGATTATCTACCTTTTTCTTAATGATTTTTGGGAGTTATTTGAATATTTTGGATCTGATACAGATGTGAATGTTTTGGTTTGTTTGTTTTTGGTACTGGAGATTGAACCCAGCAAGTGCTATATCCCAAGCCCTTTTTAAAATTTTATTTTGAGACAGGATCTTGGTAAGTTTCTAAAGCTGGCCTTTAACTTATGATTCTCCTGCCTCAGCCTCCTGAGGCAATAATTATTGCATGTAGAGGGATTATTGGTGTATGGTACCACACCTGGCTTGTGCCTAGTAATTTCTGGCTGGATGCTGGACATTTCACAAGGCCAATTGTAGGGATGATTTGAAGCTCTGGTTAATGTTACCTTTCTCTGAGGAATTTACTTTTGCTTTTTGGCAGGTGGTTAAGGATGGGTAACCTTAGTCTAATCAGAGATAGATCTTTTTCAGAGTGGTGCTTTGATTTTTTTTTTGGTACCAGAGATCGAACTCAGGTCCTTGTGTTTGTGCAGCAGGGGGTGAAACCACTGAGCTAAATCCCTGGCCCCGGTGCCTTGATTTTTTGTAGTGGCTGCTGCTCAGTTTTCAGGTCACTCCTACATCTAGGCTACGGTCCTTTTTTTTGGTATTGGGGATTGAACTCGGGACCTTGTGCTTGTGAGGCAGGTGGCAGAACCACTGAGCTAAATCCCTGTCCCCAGGCTACAGTCTTTTAAAGTTCTGACTGAAAACCCTGTAGGCCCCAGGCTTATATTTTTTCCTCTTCTTCCTCATCCTTCTCTGCCAAGATTTCTGATAATCCTGCCAAACTTCTGCCTATGCAGTTTTTACTTTTTGCTTAGTTTCTTACTATTTTTGAATTGGTCAAACCCCAAAGCAAAAAGTCATATATCAAGTTTGCTTTAGGCTTGCCTCTGCTCCAAGTTTTTGACCCTTTTAGTCCTCTCTGCTTTCATAATTCTAAGATGGTGTCAAACAGATTAAACATGCTTTTCTGTCTGGCTTTTCTAATTACTTGTACTGTTTTTGTTTGTTTGTTTTGTTTTTTTGAGACAGGGCCTTGTAGTTCAAGCTAGCCTTGAACTCATGGCAGTGCTCCTGCTTCAGTCTTTCTCCTGAGTGCTGGGATTACAGGCATGCACCACCATGCCCAGCTGTACTGGGTTGTTGATTAAAATAAACTAGTGTTCCAATGACTGAAGCAGAAGACTCTGAGATTTGAGTCTTAGAAAAGTCTCACTAGTAGGGCCAGTGATTCAGCTCGGTGGTGCTGCCACCTGCCTCACAAGTGCAGGGTCCTGAGTTCATTCCCCAGTACCAAAAAAAGAGTCTCACTGGTATTGAGTGTGGTGATTTTAGTTACTTTCTGGTTGCTGATACACAATACCAATAGCTACAAATGTAAGGAGGAAAGATTTATTTAGCTTACAGTTTGTAGAGGTTTCAGTCCATAGTTGGCTGACTCCAAGGCAGAGTGACATGGCAGAGGGGACTGGCAGAGGAGGCTTGCTCATGCCACTGCAGCCTGAAGCAGAGAGAGATCAAGGGAGGGGGAGGGAAACAGACCCTTCCAGGCCACACCCCCAGGGACCTACCTCCTCCCACCAGGCTTCATCTCCCAAATCACATTTAGCTATAAACTCATCAAATCCATGTGATTACCTCACCCCCCATGATGCAGTCACATCCCCAAAGCCCCGCCTATGAGATCATGAGACTTTGGGGGGACATCTAGATATAAACCATAAGACTGGTTTTCTGGAGGTGGGTGGGAACAAGCTGGAGGATGGAGATTAGTTAAGAGTACAGTGGCCGGGGAAGGTGATGGCAGGGAGCAGATGGATTTGAGGTGTGTTTATGCATTTGTTCATCACAAATTGCTCTGAGCCTATCTTCTGGCTGCATTCTGAGGAGCAGGGTCCTGGTGTGGAATTGATGGTCCTGAGTGGGCCAAAGCGGGAGAAGCATCCAGGATGACTCTAATTTTTAGCCACTGGGATGGATTCAGGGGCAGGAAAGCTGATCCACTCACAGGACAGGATTGGTAGATGCTCGGTGAGAATGCACTGAGTGAGAGGAGGAAATTCCTGGGTGGTGTTCGAGAGCGGATACCAAGGAGGCAGCTGGATCTCTGGGGTACTTAGAATGTGAAATGGAGTCAAAGGGAAAAGTAGGGACCCCAGTAAAGCCCTGGAGAGCTGGGCATCTCCAAGGGTTATGGAGAAGGATTTTGTTAGAAACCCAGGTAGAAGATGAGGTGGAAGGGAAACCAGGCAGGTAGGGATCATAAAATTCTAGGCAGAGAAGGTCAGTAGTCAGGGAGCCATGACACTGAAGGGTGGGGAATGAGCCCAGGTTCCACACTGACCACGAGAATATCACAGCAGTCCTCCTGGGAATCTTTTTTGTTTTGCTTAAATTCTTTTATTGGTACATTTTAGGTATACAATATGTTTACATTTCTCCTTGGGTGCTTGTACCTGTACATGATGTATCTTGGTTCTTATTTTTTCCCCATTACCTGTGTGCCCATCACCCCCTCCACCCTTCCTTATTTACATAAACTTTGTTTCCATTTTTTTCTTTTCTCATAATTTTTCCTTTTCCTTCTTTCCTTTCCCCTTCCCTTCCCACTTCCCCTACCCCGTTGGACCCTTTCTTCCTATTTCAAATTGTCAATTATTCGTTTTAATCCTTATTTACACTTTCAGTTTCTCACACTAGAGAAACTATTCAGTATTTACACATGTGTGTCCTATTTATTTCACTTAAGAGTATG